ATCGATTATTAAGAAAATTAATACAGCAAAATCGGCGCGTAAAAGACAAAAGTAATATCGCAAATTGATTTTGATTCCCAGCCCTGAGTTTGTTATATAGTAGCAATTTTAAGATATTTCATGTGGTAAAATTAATAAAACACTTACCACGTAAGCACCAAACACATATTTTTATGAATGCTACATCAATATTGAATGAAACTTAGAAATATTGATGTATATAAGTATCGACTCCATCTAAAATATTTCAGTGTAGCAGATCGAAAATAAGTCAGTACTTAGTATTTGCAGAGCTCAGTTGACACCTTAAAACACTGGAAACCAAAGTGCGTTGATATGTGGCACATTAACGCACTTTTGGGTCTATTTCTAGATTTTGACCCTAAAGTGCGCTGTGAAGTTTATGGCACTTTGGAGTCAGACAAAGCTCCTATGGTATATCCCATAGACCACTGATTTTTTTCTTAAATTGTGCTCACAAAGCGTAATTGGAAGTTTACACGGCCACATTACTGTGAAAATGGAAATTAACCTTCTTTATATACCAGTTTGGGCCATACGCGGCTTTTTATATGCCCGAAAGAATTGGAAGAATTTCGGGCATATTATGTAATACCCCCTGGCGTCCGTCCGGCCGTCTGTCCGTCCGTCCGTTAGCAATTAGGTTTCCGGAGCATAACTGAAGTTCCATTTGGCTCACACTATTCAAACTTCATAGAATGATTGTCCATATTAGGTAGAAGACCCCTGTTGATTTTGGGGTCACAAGGTCAAAGGTCACTATGACCTTAAAACTGAAAACAGTTTCCGGAGCATAACTTAAGTCCCATTTGACCCACAGTGTTCAAACTTAATAGGATGATTGTCCATATTGGCTAAAAGACCCCAATTGATATTGGGGTCACAAGGTCAAAGGTCAAGATCACTACTACCTTAAAACTTAAAACAGTTTCCGGAGCATAACTTAAATTCCATTTGGCCAACAGTGTTCAAACTTCATAGGATGATTGTCTTTATTGGGAAAAATACCCTAATTGATTTCGGGGTCACAAGGTCAAAGGTCAAGGTCACTATAACGTTAAAACTAAAAACAGTTTCTGGAGTATAACTTAAGTTCCATTTAGCCCACAGTGTTCAAACTTCATAAGATGATTGTTTATATTGGGTAGAAGACCCCTATTGATTTTGGGGGCCAAGGTTTAAAGGTCAAGGTCACAATTACCTTAAAATTGAAAACAGTTTTCGAAACATAACTTAAGTTTCACTTGGCCCACAGTGTTCAAACTTCATAGGATGATTGTCCATATTGGGTAGATGACCCCTTGTGATTTTTAGAGTCACAAGGTCAAAGTTCATGGTCACTATTACTTTAAAACTGTAAACAGTTTCCGGGGCATTTCTTAAGTTCCATTTGGCCCACAATATTCAAACTTCATAGGATGATTGTCCATATTGGGAAAAAGACTCCTATTGTTTTCGGGATCAAAAGGTCAAAGGTCAAGGTCACTATTACCTTACAACTAAAAATAGTTTCTGGAGCATAATTTAAATTAATTTTGGCCAACAGTGTTCAAACTTCATAAGATGATTGTTATATTGGGTATAAGACCCCTATTGATTTTTGGGTCAAAAGGTCAAAGGTCACTATTACCTTAAAATTGAAAACAGTTTTCGGAACATAATTTAAGTTTCATTTGGCCAACAGTGTTCAAACGTCATAGGATGATTGTCCATATTGGGTAGAGGACCCTTGTGATTTTTAGGGTCACAAGGTCAAAGTTCATGGACACTATTACTTTAAAACTGAAAACAGTTTCCGGGCATAACTTTGGCCAACAATATTCAAACTTCATAGGAGGATTGATATTTGAAGGAGGTAATACTTTATTTAATTCCAATGTTTTACAAATGCTTTATATTTACTAAAAACACACTTTCGGGCATATATTACGCTCCGCCTGGCGTGCTCTTGTTATGGAATGTCACGAACAGGTCGCATTGAAGGCTCTAAGTAGTTCATAACTGCCGTAAAAACACACCTGCATATAGTACTAAATTTAAATCGTCGCCATTTTCATGTTTCATTGTTGAATTCTGATAAGGCCGGTGCAAGGAGCATTGATGGTAGCTTTCAGTTCCCTCTATTGTCAATGAATAAGCTCAATAAACAACCCTGCAACATTTTCAGTTTTGCCGTTTTGGGCGGCTTCCTCTAGGGATTCCATTTTCTCATTTTTATTACGTCCATGTCCGCACTCAATAGATCATGGTTACATGTATTTACAGGTAATTTCGTGACCAATACGTTTCTTAAGCATTCCAGGCAGACAAAGACTGTATATGTTATTTTTGACATCACCTTCATTTAATTCTACCCTAAGCTATAAGAATACACAGAACATAAATATATTATTGAAATGATTAAGGTATAAATATTAACGTTATAACAAGTGATAATGTGAGAGTGACGTTTTTTTTAGGTGTACATAAAATTTTCAAGAACGAAATGAAAAGGTGAAACAGGTCATAAAGATCGAATATAACAATTAATTTGCCCATGAACGATAAGTGTCTTGATGGTGATTTTGTTAAAGACATTGGCATTTTATCTTAGGAAATATTTTGCCTAGGAGTTCGAGCTTGAAAAAAATGTCCTCTTCTTTGTTTCCTTGTTCTTTATTTTGAATCAAACGAAAATGGATTGTCATATAAAAGTATGTTTTTTGATATATTGCTTAACTTTTACACTATATTAAATATACCTGTAATAATGAATAATTGCCCTGTGTAGTGCCTTGTGAAAGCAGTATAAGTATTTCTTAAGTTAATACAATGTGTCTACAAAACAAATGCATTTAGTGTAGAATATTGTCGAACTAACTTCCTAGATTAATGGCTGAAAAACCTTGACTTTTGATATCAAACCCAGTCGTATTTATTTATCAGTTTTATAACGAAGTGCCTAAGTAAATTCTTCATCAGTTATGAATGTAGTGCAATAAAATGAAAAGAAAAATAATTCTTAAAAGTATATGAAAAATGCATAAAATATATGAAAAACAGTTTAATAATCCTTGCAGAAAAAATGAAAAAAAAAACCCAATAACAAGAGATTTCAAATTCTTGCAAAATATACATATTGAAACGTTGAATTTTCACCAGAAATTTAACAGATAACATCCTTACCAACAGTTCTAAGCCGACCGACAGTTTAAATATTGTTTAAACTTTGCAAAATATATCAATAAACTGTTGCCGAGTGATAACTTGTACACTAAAATAACGGTATTACACCGTACATTGCCGGCGCATGTCTCTTTAACGAGTATTATCCTAATTGAGCTGTAGCTCAAATCAGTATTGCGAATGTCTAAACATAATTATTTGTTTATTAATGATACTTCTTGTTTGTTTCCATTCCTAATGAAAAATACCCTTAACCCGAAAACGCGATTTTAAAGACTAACTTATATCAACTGGGAAATTTATTATATCGGAAAAGCATGAACAAATAAAAAGGAATATAAAAGTAATAAAATAAAAAGACATATCCAGAAGTAAAACTGAAAATAGATATTTAAAGCATAAATAGCGTAATTTGAGCTATAAGCACTTAAACGGTTTTTTTTAAGGTCGTTTTTGCACCATAAAATTATTATTCTGAAAAAAACAAACTGAATGAGCAAATGATCTGAAATTTGGCACGCAGTATTTGTATAGACCCACATTAAAAGGGATAAAGATCAACACCTCAGTGAAGTCCTTGTAAGATTCATTATTTTACAGTCAAATCAATAGAGTTTTAAATAGCAGATTTTTTTTAACTTCGTACTTAAATGCTCTTTATTTACTTCAATCAAGTCGATAATGATAATCTAGATGACAGCTTAATGCGACTGTTAAATACTTAAACGTATAAATTCAGGATTTTGACTTATTTGGCGTTCCATAACTACGTAAGACGGCCATACGCGGTGAACTTACACATGCTTTATTAGGTAAAACATATTATATACGTTCATTATGAATAGTACATGTACAAATAAAACGCAAATCAAACAAACAATGATAGTTTTAAAGGGATAGTTAATTATGCGTACACGAGAGGATCATACAGATGTAGTGTCATGTTTAAAAAAAGTAATTATAACCACATGCCGGATAATTTATCAATTTGTGTACGGTGTGTTAACGTTGTCCCACTGATAAGATATCATTAAACTTGCGGATAAGTGCCCGTCTACACCTATCCAAGTCTTGAATGCAAGTATCATATTCTCTTGTATTGGATAGTGTAGACACCCTACTTGAATGAGCTTTAAAGAGAAATTATGTGACATCCAAGAAGATAATTCCTTGCAAGAAAGTTAGAACACGTCCTATTTTTCTACAAGTTTTTGGCTGTCAAGACACTGATAACACCGGTTTGACATAAAACATGTGCCCCGAAGGTGTGATAGTGTTGTTTTTTTCATTATTTTCTGACTTTTTTGTTACTGATTCTGTGTTAATGACCTGTAAATTTTAGTAAATGTATAAAATATCTTGGTCAGAGGAACAGATCAATACATTGATACACAGAAGAGCAAAAAAAAAAAAAGAAAAAAAAGAAGAAATAAGTTTTTCAAGTAGTCAAAATGGATTTTAAATGATCTTGTTCATTTAGTCAATAACTTTCATCAAATAAAGAATTTGCATCAATTTATCAGCTCAAAAATATTTTTCTCACATTTTCCATTATTTTAAAAGGGTGTACACATTTCAATATATACTCCATTGTTTTTAGCTAATTGCATCATTTTCCCGCTTTTTTATTCACATATTTTACAGAAACATGATAGTATTGCAAAGACAAAGGTATAAATTCTGGGCAATCTTAATTAGACATTTCAGTAAAAATTGTGCCTGATAAAATATTGAAAGGGCCATTTATTAAGCTTATCTAAATGTGACATGTAAGAAACTTGAATAGGTGTAGACACGGCCTAACATCGTTATTTGTTTCACCAACGTTAGCGGAGTTATAACATATAACTGAGGTTCATTCTTGCAGTTATTTCAATTCAGCACTAGAGCTTGGACATTCAGGTACGTCTTTTTTTTCAATATAGTGTAGAATGTTATTATAGATTGTCATTTGTCTTACCTTATAAAACGTAATAAAGTTTAACAAGTATATTAAGTTGCTAAAGACTGTAACACTTGTAATAATAGGTTTGGCCTGTACCATTTCATATATAATGATATTGTAAGTGGCAAATCTGTTTTGTTGTTTGGTTTTATTTGTTTGGTAGGTTGTATCATTTGAAACCATCTTTGGTATTTAGTCAACCTTTCCTCGATAACTTACTAGATAATACCAATTTCTTCGTGGACGACAGACTAGCGTTGATTTCTGAATCAGCGATGAGAGAGTATCGAACCAGTAACCCTGGGTTATAAATCCAATGATCTCCCTATTGAGCTTAGCGGATGGACCTTTGTTGAAGTAACACAAATATAAGTTAGTTAAACTGTAGAAGCATTAACGATCACTTAGTAACGCACGTGTATATTTTTACACAGGCTCCCAATCCTCGGGGCCGAGTGCAGAATAACAGGGAAATATAGCGAACATTTTTTCTTCTATCTCTCCCTAGTCTCAATATTTCGACCGCCTACAAGACCGACTGATATTACTTACTAGTAAATGTGGAAGGTCGACCAGCGTCTTAATAATGAAAAGCCAAGGCGCACAATTTGTCGGGTTACATCTCTGCCCAACAGTCAGCGTCCATGTTATTCTATGTTACATACATATAGTATATGTGTATAAACATATACAGTATACATATAGTTACATACTCGTATACGTAACATAGTTTTGAAGCAAGATAACTTTACAGTACTATTTTAACTTATAAGCGCAGTAATTTCCCATTTTTAAGGCTGTAACAGTTATAAGAAGGAGTGATACATGACAAAAATTATAACTTGGTTATAAGATATAACATGAACGAATAGATAAAATGTTTAATGTTTAATAAGTGATCAGTTATAAAATACTCTTAAAAACCTATATTATCATTATTATCATCACTATTATAATTTTCATCACTAGACGTGTTTCCATACTATACATATTCTCCGAATTATGTTTGTTTCTGATGAAACAATGTACAGAATGTAGGTTGGGGCTATCTCAGATATAGGGAAACACATTTGAAGTTTTATTGTTTGAAACCGCAATGCTTAGAGCACATGTATATTTGACATTTAGCATTTTTGTTGATCTTTGCAAAAAACCGATATTTATGAATGAACTTGGGCCAATATTTGCCCTTCCCTGAGGTCATTTGATTTATGTAGACTTACAAAGGAGGGGAGAATTTTGTCTTATTATGTGAACAACAATCATCAGAGCTTACATATTTGACATGTAGCTTTACATTATGGTTTATAAAAGTTATAATTATTTGTTCAATGTGTTAATATTTGGTTGAACATATTTCATAGGTATGTTTTCAGTAAACTGTAATAGCCCGTAGAGTTCTTTCATCAGATTCTACAATTATATCATTTCAGGTTAATCATCATGAAATCTAAACGAAGACACATATCAGACTGCATTAGCGAGTTCAATTTAGCAATGTATCAACAGGGGGCAAGTGATAATCCATCCGCAAATATGTTCCTATCACCTACATGCATCTCGATTGTGATGTTAATGGTATACATAGGAGCAAGAAATAGAAGCGAAGACCAAATGGCTAAAGCATTGAAACTCGAGGGAACTGACAAGCATCATGTTCTTGAAGATGTACACAAATTAGTCGAGAAACTAAAAACAGCAAGTAATAATACAGTTCAAACTGCAAATAGTTTATTTCCGCATTGCGATAAGATAATCTTTGATTCATTTATTTCAACTGTTAGAAAATATTTTCAATCAGAAATTAAATCAATGGATTTTACAACTGCTCCGGAAAAGTCAAGGGTTACAATAAATGAATGGGTTGAGAAAGAAACAAATAACAAAATAAAGGAAATCTTACCCGAAGGCTCTTTAACGCCACTCACATCCTTGGTTATAGTGAACGCTATCTATTTCAAAGCTAATTGGGAAATCCCATTCGAACCAAGATGTACTGAAATTAAAACTTTCATCACATTGAATAGTGATAAAGTAAAAGTCAAAATGATGAGAGCAAAGAAAATGGAGGACATTGATTTCTACAGAAGTCGAAGTCTCAACTGCAAAGTTCTAAAGCTTAAATATGAAAATACACATATTGCTATGCTAGTAGTTTTACCTAATGAAACTGATGGGTTACCAAAGCTTGAGTCTGAAATGGATTTGAAAACATTGAAGGAACTCATAAGTAAGCTCAGTACGAAGGATGTAGAAGTTTCATTGCCGAAGTTTAAAATGGAAACGACAACACAATTAAAACCTCTGTTGTCAAAATTGGGAATGGTTGATATATTTGACGAAGAACTGGCTGATTTGTCCGGAACGGGCAAAGATTTATATGTTTCTGAAGTGTACCATAAGACATTCATCGACGTTAACGAGGAAGGTACAGAAGCTGGGGCCGCAACAGCCGCTGTCGAGGTATCGAGAAGCCTTGATGAAATGGCTTCCTTTAAAGCAGATCATCCATTTATGTTTATAATTTGGCATGACGATCTGAATATTCCCTTGTTTATTGGAAGACTTGTAACACCAGAAATTGTTGAAGAGGATTCTTCTTCTCATCATAGTCATAGTGACCATTCAAATAGAAACCATCGTAGGCGAAGACAAAGAAGTCGTTCGTATGATAGATATACTCGTAGACGAAATGATTCAAGTTCTGATGATGATAGACATGGTTATAGAAAAAGGCGTCGTTAAATTTGATTTTGGGCATCTTGAGAAATTGTCAAAAGCCTTAAGGTTGCGTTTTACTCTACAGGATATTTCACATCTATATTTCAAATCCATCGTTTAGAATTCTATACAGATAATTACTAATAATTATTTAAAAACTGGAAAATGTATCATTAGCAAATACATTGCATTATAATATCCCTTATCTGATGATTAAGCACTACAAAACAAATGACACTAATTGGAAGATTTTAAAAATATTTGATAATGATAGTTTTTGTTGACTAAAATGTGCGCACGCGAACAAATTTATTACCATTTTTAATGCTGCGTATATGCCATAGTCTATTTTCTCAGACATGTTTGCATCCGTTTTGAATATTATCTGATTATTAGTTTTCCTTTCCAAGTTCATAAAATACCTGGATAATCATTTTTTTAATGATTATACAAATTCAGATTTAGAAATAATGATTCCTATTTTTTGCCAGTACATTGCTTTGAATGAACTTTTACTTACTTATAGTCACAGGGGTTGGCTAACTGAATGTTCACAAAACATTTGTATTTGATAGCCGAAAACATTGATCCAAAGTCAGAAATCAATTAAAAGTACATTTCCACTACACTTCATACTAATATATAGACAAGGGTATCAACTCTCTTAAAAAGCTTTCTATACCTAGTTAGAGTTGTCGCCTCATATTTTTTTTTAATGATTTGGCTATCGTGAACATTCATTGAGTTATACCTCTGTGCTTATAGTATAAAACGAATACTTTATAGAATTTTATTATATTATAAAGATACCATGTGTTTTTTATTTATATTGAAGAATAAAATAGTAATTATTATCCAGCGATTTGTTTGTGTTTTCGAAATGTATCAATCAAAACGACCTGCATCATTTTCGATTGCGTTCTTCGGAAATTCAATTGTTTTTTTGTGTTTTTTTTTCATCTTTTGATAACAATGTTTTGACGTCACATTCCCAAAAAAATTGTTATTCAGAAACCGTAATCTCATATCAGTTCTCGTAAAAGGTTCCGAGAATTCATAAATCCTAAAAAAATGAAATCGACTGCCTTGTTGACTTAGCAACCGGTATCGTTACGTCACACCAGCACTGGATCATACGGAAGACATCAGCTACCCTGTCATGCATTACCTTTCCGGTACAAGCGGGCACTTGATTGATATCAAAACCAACCTTCCGTAGTTTCTTCACGTTAAAGAATCACAGGTCCTTGACGGGATACGAACTCACGGCTGTGAGGGATACAAAAAGACAATTACTAGACATTGAGTTGAATACTAGCCTAATTAATTTGGCGTGAACGGTTTGACCCATTTTACAGACTTTTTTTTCTTACTGTCAAACCGTTACGCCTAATTTTAACTGTCATTTTTACGCACGGAAAATCTACCGGTAACACTATCGATAGTTTGGACTGATTTTTAATGCTTAAACCTGAAAGTAACTTCAATTACCTCTAAAGATCAATAGAATATAAATTTTAGTACTAACTTCTCCTAGAAAAAATATTAGATTGTACCTGTCTTAACGCATACATGCGATTTATTTCAAATTTGTACTGTCTACTCTATCTTCGGCGGACATGTTATGACGTCATCGTAAAAAATCGATTCCGTGAAAGCTGGTAGTAGCCACCAGTGTGTCTAGCAGGTAAGTGTGGGTTACGCATGAAGATTAAATTAAACAAAATATCGGGGGGAATAAATCTATTCATTATTTTTTAATAAATGTGTGCATTATTAAATACTATTGAAAAGTATCATTGTATTTAACCTAAAATGCAATGGTCGCAAATAGGCTCCGTACAAGTACTGTTGTTTAATATTTTTTAAATATTTTAATACATGTACTCAACATTTATCAATTGGTGGTTTGCCTTCTTGTTTACTGCTAATGACTGCCAAATGTCACTCTCGGATAAAATACTGACTTCATTTATACATGCATATTTATATGACAATTAAGAACGTAAAAGAAATATTGAAGGAAACTATTTGAAATACACTTCAAATTATTCAGTATTTGTACAAATAATATTTCAAGAGCTCTTTTCACCGATTGCCGGTATTTAATACCATATTAAACCTATTGATAAAGTTATATGTCTTCTTGACATACTTTATTAATTTACTAAAAAGGAACTTTATTTGATCCAGCCATATGCTGTGTAACTATAAAGGAAGGGTCACATGTTTTAATTGAAATAAATTTTAAGTAGAGGATATTAAAAAAAAGTCATTGAGAAGATCAGAATTTTCAAATGAACAGATTAAGAGACTTATAAATGTATAAAGTGTATGTCTTGTTGTTTCATACTATTTTGGTGACACTTTTGTTTGTGTCCCTTGTTGTTTTCTCGTCTTTGGTAAGTATCTTCCCTTTGCCCCTAGTTTTATTTCTTTATTTCGCCCCCTCCCCCTTCCCCGAATTTCCTATCCCCTTCCCCTGTGCCCGTTAACTTAGTGGTCCTATTAATCATTCATTTATTTATTTTCTTTGATTTCCTTCTCAGTTACATTTTAGTGATAAGCCTGACCGTGCTCTCCCTTAATTGCGCCCTGTCCCGTTTTAATTAAGGATCCTCCTGGGATACTTGCCAATGGTTCTTTTTCCTGGGTCGCCTTTCCTTGTTCATCTTGTTTATCATATTGTATACATGTATACCGAACCGTAACATATAATGATTATCAATACAAGATTCGGCAAGCAAGCAAAGAAATGTAAATTAAACAGAAAAAACTTATCCACATGCATGTATCCACCCTCCAAAAAAACCCCACCAAAAACGCCTGAAACTGCAAAATCGAAACATAAATACAAATGAGTGCCAAAGACGGCTCTGGTAGGTGCAAGTGCTCCCTTTCGCCGGTTTAAACAGAATTGATCACTTAAACATAATAATGTTGAAATTTTTAATCAACATCCACAGATGTGTACATAATACGGCGGTAATCATGGAACTTTCAATGTGACACATTCGAGGTGCCGTTCAATGAAAAGCGGGAACTAGATAACATGGAATTTAAATTTATCAGAGGTTTTGGTGTCCTTTTGCGACAGTCGTTCTAACATTTCTCCCATCTGTTCTTACATTGTTATGCTATTCAACGTCTAAATAACGGTCATTAATTTTCCGCTTGCTGCGTTTTTATCATAAACCCCGTCATATCTGTGCAACAATTGTATTTTACTGAGGACTGTCTGAAATTCCATTTTATAGTTTGAAATTTTAAGATTTTTTTCTTCAGAATTTTAAGGTTATTTTGGTTGTTTTGAACTTCTTCCCCTACACAACCGTCCTCAATTTCTTTTAAAGATAAAACAACTAGAAATTGATATGGAGTGTAATATAAATTGAAATTCTTCTTTGCTTCATCATGTATAGTATAATTATAATTCATTAAGATGTACCTACAATTACATTGTATTTTCGTATGTGGGAAATCATGGCAGGGCTATAAAATAAAAAGGTAGTTCAGAAATTTCACCTAATGATCACAGATGTTAAAAAATCCAACTTAATAATATCTAATTTGACAATTTAAACGGACTTAAATGCAGTATGATCTGACATCGGACATCATAAACTATTTAATTTCTAAGTAAGGTTATCAGAATTTCCTTTTCACATTCTCTTTTTAATGCTGAAATATGTGTGTGTGAATAAAAGAGTTATTCCTGCAATAATTCATATAAATAACATAAACAAATTCTATAATAAAGCTTGGCAAATACAATCGATTGCCGCCGATACCTGTGTTACACCATGGAATTTACAATTTTACCATGACACCGCTTTCCAATATGGCCGCTTTCAATAATTGTCAACGATTAAAAAATTAAAGTGGAATATTTAGACTTCTGTTCGACTTTGAAGTATGATAATTTGGAACCTTGCATAAAAAACGATTCTCTTTCAGGTAATGTAGACCGTTTCTTTGAAACTTTTCTAGTTTTCGCTCCCAACAACTTCTAATTGGGAAGCGTCCGTGCATAAAAATGCAGTTCGTGGTTGGACTTGGAAAAAGACAGCGCCCGTCCAAAATTATCTCGGTGTCTCTTTGACAAGTCTAATTAGTTGGACTAAGTTGAATACATGAGTTTTATAATTTTGCTTTGATTTAACAATCGCTCACTTTCCTTAATGGCAAATTATGATTATCGCGGTCTCTTTAAAGACGATCCGATAAATCAGTAAACATATATATATATTATCATATTTTCTCTCTTGAAGTAAGAAAACGGAATCAAGAAAAATATTGCACTCAGAATGCCCTAGATGCATTTTGGAGGGTATCTTGTACCCAAAGTTAGTTCAAAATTGTATATAATGAATAAATACCGTACATTTTCAGTGTAATACTAGTTTCGATAAAAAACGGCGAATTGAAAGTTTGTGTTCACTTTAAGCGTCTATATGTCATTCTTCAACGTTTTAAATTGACCTTGTTAACTTTCCAAACCAATGCTGTGTTGGGGTGGGTGAAGGAGGGGTGCTCCCTCCCATAAAAAGATACACTTTTAAAATCTGAAGTCGAAAATGGTGTTAATTTCCAGACTTTCTACATAATTTTATGTGAGCTTATCAGTGCACAAGACGCTCAAATTTGTCTGATTATTGAGACCACTGTATGCCCATTACGGTAAAGCTGCGGTCTCACTGCCGGCAGAGCCCAGGACCACCCCGGTATGTTACTGGGATGATCCGGGCTCAACTATTGTTGCGGTCACACTTACCCCGGCAGCACTACGGTAATTCCAAACTAACCACCCAGGATGCGCTCCGGACCATCCAGACAGAGCCCAGGGACGCTACGGTTCATGCCGGTGCTTCGCCGGTCGTTCCCGGATGACGCTGGAAGAGCCCCGGTTGACCCAGGCAGAGCCCCGGTCGATCCAGGCAGAGCCCCGGCAGAGCCCAGAATGATCCAGGCAGAGTCCTGGTAGAACCCCGGTGGATTGAAAACGCGCGAAAATGATTACATTGATACATAATTTTATTTAATATTTAATTTTATATCTATTGTTCCAGAAAAGTAATTAATGATGATTTTCTGAAAAATCCTTATGCAAGACTGGATAAAGGGAAATGGGAAGGGTTTTAATACAAACAAGTGAAATCATCGCAAATTGTCGTGATTCTTTTGAAATGAGCCGGACTTTGCCGAGGCTCTACCGGGATCAACCGTAGCTCCATCCTCATCTTCCGGGGCTCTGACGGCATTCACCGGGGCTCTGTCAGCATTCACCGCGGCTCTACCGTAGCTCTACCGGCTATATCATGCCCCGAATCATCCCCGGTTTGTGCTGGCAGAGCTACGGTGCTTCCCCGATCGTTCCCGGCAGAGCTAAGGATGAAGCCGG